GTAAACCTTCCGATTACAAGGCGAACTCCCAACTCTTGAGCCACGATCGCCCCATAAGAGGGTGGCAGAGTGGCTCAGTGGTTAGCACGGTCACCTCACAGCACCAAGGTCCTGGGTTTGAATCTTTCTCTGTGGAGTTTGTGTGGATTACTGTGACTGAGAAGCCACACTGGCTGTTTGGTTCGTTGGTTTTTCTAAATTGACTGTAGCTGTGTGTCACAAATACAAATGAACTCATGTTGTGCACAGGCTCAGTTACAAACTACTTTTAAATTATTTAAAACACTCAGAAATGACAGCAGAAGTTGTGAACCGGTGATATAGTTACTGTACATGCACTTCTACCAACACTCACCCTTATATGCCTTTGTGATTTTGGGACTACACACACACACACACACACACACACACACACACACACACAGGTGGGTAATTATTGATATTCACTCCAGATTAGGGATGTTAACAGAAGACATGTTCATCCAGTTCTAATACAAACACAGTGATTGTTTGTCATATCAGTGCAGGTCAGAAGGTCTGTTAATGTGAACAGGAATGGAAGCCAAACTCAAACAACATACTGAACCAAAAATATCCATGAAAGGAAAAAGATGAATGTTAGTGGGATGCAAGTAAAAGTAGAATAACCGAATAAAAGGCTGAATTAAAAACCTGTCCCTTCTCTCCCTGGTTCAGGTAGGATGAGATCCAAAAGCAGTGGGGTGGACACCCCAGCCAATGGGGTACTTGGAGTTCCACAGGGTGACCAAGAACAGGAAGTGAGCCTGCCTGTGAAGACCCTGAAGGCCAAAGTCCAGCAGAAAGATGGTGAGGAAACAGTGGAGGTCGAGGTGATCTCTGACAAAGACAAACCGCTGGATTCCTCCAAGGCTGGAGATAAAAGACAGCACATCATGGATCTGTCTAAAGAGGATTTGCTGACACTGTTGGGAATCATGGAAGGAGAGATTCAGGTGGGCGAGGCATCGTTTCCCTTTGTGTTTAGCTTTCTGTATGTGATCTGCAGCTGTAAGCAATGATAAGAGAAAAGGTGGATGAGCGCAGTAGCTGAACATTATTGGCTTGAGTAACTGCAAGTTTTGCACAACAGCTCTCTCTTGTGGTTTAAAATGTAACATACCAGACTATCTAGACTTCATTGAGTTGGTACTTTAGAGAACTCTGAAAGGTAAACTGGTGATCCACGAAGCAAAGACTAGCAAGTTTTTAACTCCCTCTGCATCATTTCTGTGTAACTTCAGGCCCGAGAGGATGTTATCTGCATGCTGAAGTCCAAACACAGTTCCCCAGAAGCGCTTGAGTCGCAGTACGGCTCCGCGGTCCCTGGCTCGGCCCTCCAGGCCCTTCAGAGAGACGGCGTCATCACAGGCACCAAACCACACAACCACATTGTCTACCAGAAACCGATGGCTGAGGTTAGTAGGCGAGTGTCAGTCACAAACCCTGAGGCATGATCAAAATTACTTTTTTATTAACTGGCCTCAAGACCCTCGAAATCCAAGAAATCACAAGACAGAAACTAATAAAAGTAATGTTTTTGTGACCGACTGGCAGGAGGTTGTTGCTACAAAACACTCGGCATGTTGCACCACAGCGACTGGAATTATTTGTTTCTGTGTGTGTTCGTCTCAGCTGGAGCGTCTGCAGGAGAAGCACAAGGAGGCGTACCGGCGGATGCTGGGTCAGCTGCTGCTCGCAGAAAAGT